TTTGATCATATATAACAGCTCCCCAAAGATCTTGTCTTTCTAGTGCATTACTCTGATTTCTAAAAGTACACACAGTTCATAGAGTATGCTGCAAAGAAATTTGTAGAAATGGATTTGACTGTTAACCTGCAAGCTATACCTCCGTTGACCATATCTGTCAGTACTAAGTCACCCAAAGTCAGTTCTATCCTTGCAAGTCTCTTTCCAAAGAAACAGTCCCACAGAGAACTAACTATATCATGGATAAGCAATGTGATGTCCCTTTGAATTAATGAACTCTTTTAAAAATAATTCATAAAAATATGTGTGTTGAGGGGGAGAAGGGGGTTGTCTTGCTAACTGTTCATCTGTGAAGTCTGGGCAGGAAAGTTTACAGATGAAAGAGAACGGCATACCAAATTTATAAAAGCAACTAACAGTGAACACCTTATAAAGAAGTAACATGGAGGGAGTTCTTTTTTTTTAAGAAAACTTTTTCTCTGAAAACACTTCAAGGTGTGAAGGGTCTGTTATCCTGCCCAGGAACCTGAGCATGTGGAGTTTGCTACAGGGACCAGAAAACATGATCTATGCATGATATTGGCATGGAGCTGCTATAGGCACAGAAAGAACAGGGACAGAGAAACTTGGAGAGAGAGAAGTGTATTCATGGAATAAGTGACTAGGGGAAAGAGGCAGAACCAGGAACTTGGAGTACCTGCTTGTAATGGTACTGAACAGATACCAAAAGCCTGCCAGCCCCCATGCAGACATGCAGCTCTGCAGCGTTCCAGTCCAGGACCAGCCAGCAAAAGCCCCTGCCACTCCTTTTTTATTTCCAGCAGAAATACATAGGCGTCTTGTATTGCAAGTCCCTCTCCAAATGAGTTTGGACACAAGCAACTGTGGTTTGCTGCAGTTCTGCCCCCCTTTCCAGAACTCTGCTATAATATCCACACCATTCTGAAGGTGGGATCATTTCTGTTCTTTAAGAATTGAACAGCCCAAGCTGACTGTGGGGTGGTGGGGAGAGCAAACAGTCCCTTCTTGCTTGACCCTTGTACAGTAGCTTTCCATGTGTACAGGAAGCAGGAAAGGAAAACAAAATACAAGGGGTTCTGTCAGCAGCAGCTACTGGCACCCTTACAGCTTACTTGGATATTGTGTATTATTGTACTTTTAATTTGTACCCCAAGTTTCCAGGTTGCACCTTGTTTCATAGTTAAAACACAGTTTGCTCATCTGCTGAGAGCTGATTGCGTTGTGAAGTTTTGCCTTGTATAGATTTGTGTTCTGTGTGTGTTCAGCCATTGTTTTCCTCTCCTTTCCGAGAAAATGGCAAGCTGCCTCAGTGTTGAAAGGTCTCTCTGAAGTATTAGCAAAAAGAGCAAACAGTCTGGGCAAACCAATAAAATGGCACCTCCTGCCCCCAGACTAGCAGGCACAAGGTTAATTTAAACTGATATTTTATTTGGCACAAAATAATCTGTATGCATTAGTAGTCTCCTTGCCCAGAAGTTTAAACAAAATGGTAGATCAGGCACTTTATGAGAGTATGACATGAGAAAAGTAGTTATCCTGAAGTCAGGGTACATTTGCATCTTATAGACTCTGATTTAGTAAGTCTTTAAGGTGAAAATCTACCCTGCTATCTACATGATTGTGAAATTTCACAGCATTTTGATATCTATAAAACTGTACATACATTGGCAATCTATTGCTCATTAAAAACACCCTGTGTGGTACGGGCATGAACACACATGGCCTCTCTAACTTTTGGTTCCCTTGACACTGGGTCTAGTATTGCTTCCAAAGGTGTTTCTAATTGATTGACTTTTCAACCAATTCAAGCACTGTCCATGCTCCATTCCAGAGGAGACACTTGCTTCTACCTGCATGTTGTACAGGTTGCAGCTGGCAGTCATATGTACAATGTTCATGATGTTCAAGTGTTTTTGAAAGCAGCACCATCTTGCCTTTGGCCTTCTAACTGTATGTTTGACCACTATTCTGTAACTGCTGAGAGCATAATTAAAAGTTCGGTGCAGCCACTTGTCTGCATCAGGCTTCATGAACTATGTTTGGAACTGAAAAGGAGGTCCTCCAGAGTTGCAGTGGGTACCTGCACCCCAGTGGTAGGCCAGGTCATTGAGAGGGGTAAGATTGCAGCTTCTCTAAACATGTAAATACCAGGCCTCCTCAGAACCCTGTTGTTGTGCACCTAGCCTGCACTTCCTGCATTGTAGTTCGGGTAGGATGAATGCACGTCAGATGTGCAGAACTGACCACGCTGCATATAACAGTAGGCTAAAATAACTTCTACGCTCAGGATTGTTATGGAAAGAAAAAAATTGTCCCACTGTATACTCCAGGCCAATTGCTAAAAGGATTGTGCAACCTGTGCTGCTCAGAAACCTGGGCCATGCTCCCACAAATGCTGGCACCAAATGTGAATAGCAGTGTAGATGTGAGTAATCAGGGCTTGGTCTGGGTTGGACAAGTGTGCTGGGTGGGAGAATGGAGATTTGCTTGCTTCAAACTCCTAGGCCTTGCATCAGGTTGTTTGATGCCTAGTGATGTAAACATATCCCTTGGTCCTTCACTGTCAATGTGTGGAGCAAGGGAAAGAAGAGAGACTACAGTGGGGGGAGATTGTTCAGGGGCTGAGGCAAGAACAGCGCGAACAGTAATCTTAGTTGTGTCTCCAAGGAGTTAGTCATTATTCACCGGTCCTCTGTGTTTCTCATATTTTCTTTTGCAGCAGTTGGGACACCATGATGGATAACCGCTTTGCTACAGCTCTAGTAATTGCTTGCGTACTCAGCCTCATCTCCACCATCTATATGGCAGCTTCAATAGGCACAGATTTCTGGTATGAGTACCACAACCCAGCTGAGAACATCAGTGAACTTGGCAAGATCATTGTGGACGAATTCATCAGCGATGATGCAGATGAGAAGACGTATACGGATGCACTTTTCCGATGCAATGGCACTGTTGGATTATGGCGCAGGTGTATCACTGTGCCCAAAAACGTACACTGGTACAGCCCACCAGGTATACTCAATCTATCCTCCATTGAACATTACCTCTCATGTCCCCACTTCCCCCTCTCCCCGCCTCTCCTGCCTGCCTAGAGTCAAAGGTAATTTTCTTAGAACACATCCATGCAACTTGTTTCTCCAGAAAAGTTATTTCTAACTTCTCTAGTTGTTAAATACAGCCATCCTAAATCTTTAAAGAAGCAAGAAGTTAAGTCTGATAGCTGTGATGAGTGTTACAGAGCCACGATTTTGTGTGTCAAGATTTCACTTACGTTGAACTAACTTGAATATGGGCTTGTTCACAATCAGGCTCTTTTCCAACTAGGGGAAGGAAGCTATTCTGAATCAAATCTGGATGGACTCTGTAGTTGCCTTGATGGGATTTAGGTTCTAAAGAGCAATCCTGATTAACCCAAAATGCAATAAGTGCCTCCATTTTGGTCCAAGGCCCCCATGGGCAGGCTCCTTCCATGCTAAGGTGTATGCTCAGAAGTAATCCAGTTTGCTTGCTTAGTATCTAACCCCAGATAAACTCTTTTGTAAGCCAGATGGGTCACTCTGGGAACTTGGGAATCTCCTCAGCACCAGATCTATTAGGCATCTAAAGACTCATGCTTATCTGTTGTTTTCATTAAGCATGATAAAGATCTCTAGGTTCACCTGCATGTACATGGAGGTTCTTTGTATTTCTGTTGCAAGTCACCCTATGAAACGAGTTCACAATATGCTTTAATGATCTATCAATATACAGTAAAAAATATATTCAGGTGCATAACTAAGTACTTGGAAGTTGGAAGGAGCCTGCCCATAAGGAGTTAGTGTGATCTGTGAGGAAACGCTCTCTTGAAAAATACAATAGCCTGTGGTTTTGCTGTGGAACACTTTGTGTTATAATATCCTTTTTCCATTGGTTCTAAAAACATTTTTAATGGACTTAATTTTAATTCAGTGCCTTCTCTTCTGCCCAAGATACTTATTGTAATAGCTGTCACGGCTCACATATTAGATGCATTTGCCACCAGCCCAGCAACCTTCCTGAAGTGGTTGAATACCTGATTATGAAACCAGCTAGGCAGGAGATTGGCAGTGAAACTTTTCATTATTACTGTACATTATGTATTACATCATACAGTAATAAACTGATTGTGACTCATAGAAACATCTCATGACCAAAGTAAGACAGGATTGTTTATCCTTCCCAGAAGGAGAAATAGTGCTTGTGAAGGCATGAGGACTGGAGGTCTGTGGAGAGGAGTCCACTATACCTGCATTGGCTGGAAAAGTGTGACGTGAATTGATCCAGGAAGCAATGCTACCAATGGGATAGGTGGGAGTGGCTAGTCTTTAAGGGGCTAAAGTTACAAGAATTTCTTCAAATTGAAAGAAACGCCAGAAAAGCTGGGGATGGGGGGTGGTGTTGGAGGGGGTTAAATGAAAATAAATAGACTAATGGCAGTTGCTACTTTTTTGTTCCAGAAAATGAGATGACCACAAAGTGCATCAGTTTTTCCCTCTCTGATCAATTCATGGAAAAGTACATAGAACCTGGGAACCACAATAGTGGCACAGACTTGAACCGGACTTGTAAGTGTTTTTCACCTCTGTCAGGTAAACCTGTGGGATAAAGGAAAGGAAAAGATTTCATAGATTTCATAAACGTTAGGGCTGGAAGGGACCTCGGAAGTTCGAGTCTAGCCCCCTGCCCCAGGGGCAGAAAGTCAGGTAGGGTCATAGGATCCCAGTAAGAAAAACATCCAGGTTTCTCTTGAAGGCGTTCAAAGTAGGTACTTGAACCACCTCTGGCGGCAGGCCATTCCAGACCTTGGGGCCTCAGACAGTAAAGAAGTTCTTCCTTATGTCCAGCCTGAAACAGTCTTGCAGGAGTTTATAACCGTTTGACCTTGTAATCCCTTGGCATGCTCTGGTGAACAAACGTTCCCCTAGGTCCTGGTGAACACCCCTGATAAACTTATAGGTGGCCAAACAAATTCCTGGTCCAGCTCTTGTTTCTGGTTATGAGGTCTGTAGTAGAGTCCTACCATGATGTCCCCCGTGCCACGTTCCCCATGTATTTTACCCCAGAGGGACTCCAGTCATTCTCCCTGGGTTCCAGTGTCAATTTGCAGGGATGTGTAACTTTCCTTGACATAAAGAGCTACACCCCCGCCCCTTTTATCTACATGATCTCTTTTGTACAGCGTATAGTCATCTATACCTGTGGTCCAGTCATAGGTGGAGTTTCACCAGGTCTCTGTTATCCCTATGAGATCATAGTCTTTCTTGCCTAGCAGGAGGACCAGTTCCTCCTATTTGTTCCCAAGCTCTTGGCACTGGTGTACAAACACATGAGTGTCCCATTGGAAGCCCTAGGCTTTTTCATAGTTTCATAGTTGGTAGGGTTGGAAGGGACCTGAGGAGATCATCTAGTCCGACCCCCTGCTGTGGCAGGAAAGAGTACTGGGGTCAAACGACCCCGTCTAGATGTTCGTCCAGCCTTTTTTTAAAGATCCCCAGGGTAGGAGCCAGCACCACTTCTTTTGGAAGTTGGTTCCAGGTCCTAGCCGCCCTGACAGTGAAATAGCGCCTCCTAATGTCTAGCCTGAAACTACCCTCTGCCAGCTTGTGTCCGTTGTTTCTTGTAACTCCCAGGAGTGCTCGGGGAAACAGGGACTCTCCCAATACCTGCTGGTTCCCCCTGACTAGTTTGTAGACTGCCACTAGATCCCCTCTCAGCCTTCTGTTTTGGAGGCTGAACAGGTTCAGGTCCCTTAGCCTC